GCGCTCTATATTTTACCGCCAACTATTAATATTTTAAATAATATTAAATCAAGAAGTTTAATTACTTAACAAATATTACAGACTGATTTGAGTTATTCATAAAGCATAAAAAACGTAAATATATTATAAGTCAATTTGGCTTGTTGGTAAAACTCTGGACTCGTGTGCTTTGAGTTCGGGGTTCGATTCCCTGGATGGGTAGATTTTTTTCGTAAAGAAATGTTCCCATAATATTACTGTAATATTCTCTTGTAATATTACCTTAATATTACGGTATAATATTACTGCAATATTACTGTAATATTACCTTAATATTAGCGCGTAATATTACAGTAACATTACCGGTAATATTACCTTGAGGCGGACATTTTAAGATCACTGTAAGATTACTGTAATATTACAACGTTATATTACGAATCTTACATGTAATATTACCTTGATATTGAGGTTATATTACGTGCTTCTTGGGACTAATTATAATAGACCTTTTCATGCTGATCATTTTGTCCTCTTCCAACTCATGCGTCATTGTATGCGCTAGATAAGAACAGAACGATCAGCATGAAAAGGTCTATTGTATCTTTTTCTTATTTAAATCTCCATTTTAATTCATTATAAATTAAATTAAATATTAGGGTAAATCCCGGAGAGTTGGAACACTTGTTCTATATCCGAATATATTTTACCAACTGTAATTTTATTTTTGCATGCAAGTGCCTAACAACAAATTAACAAAATTCTCTTTATGTACCATTATTTTATTTTAGCGAATTTTATTGAACCTTGCATGAAATTTACCCACAAAATTTATGCCCTGTCTATATGAAAAATATAGATCAAGAATATTTTTTCTACACTGTAGCTTCACTTATATAAAGTCACACTTATTTTAAGGCCCACTTATTTTAACCATTTTTGGTCTCACTTATTTTTACTTAGACGAGGTCGATCGCGCTAGTTTATTTTATTTCATCATAACTACAAACAATTTTAACAATAAATAAATTTTATTTATTTTTTTTATTTTATTTTTTATTTATCTATAGATCTTTCCAAACCTTCAAAGAATTCTTTCACATTCATTTTTAACACTACTTAACGTCAAAAAATATATTTCTTTTTTAAGTTGTCAAGAACAATCAATTCCATTGGTTGTTCCATTCTATCATAAATAATGAAACACGCATTGAGGTTAAAATAAGTGCCAATTTTTCACCAGAATTTGCTCTGGCAAATAAACTAAAAATGTCGTATTTAAGTTTCATTTATCAATTTGTTTCGTCTCACCCGGACAATTTCATCTCTCCTGGAATTGACATTTATTTTCAAAACAAATTTTTAAATATCAGAAATAATGAAAAGTTAAAACTGATTTTCAGGTTTATATAGAAGCATTAAAACTAAATCATCGCACTTGAATTGGTTTGCGATGTTAATTTCTTTTAAAATTACAAAGGTTTGAAAAACGTGTTTCATCTCTCTCGGACTTACCCTAGCAATAAAAAAAGGTAATTAGAATCACCCCCTCAGCACCGAAAGTTTCGGTTTTTAATATATATTTGCAAATTCAGTGTTTTTTAATTAAAAAATAATGTTTTCATCAATATTTTGAAAAGGGGAGCAGCTGAGATTTTCTGCAAAATTGCATTTGCCTATTTTAGATGTGCTTTAAAAGATGCAACTATAATTTTTAGTCACCATTTTAATGACTCTTGAATTTGCTGAGGAGAGGTGTGTCTCAAAATTTATATAATTTAGAAAAATTTATTTCATTTTTATTCTAAGTGCAACTTATATTCCATTAATCGAAAATATTTCGTAAATTTTTAATTCCAAAAATATTTGTCAATTATGAATTCCGTTGAAGAGAAAACATTTACTTGGGTCCCAAGTAGTTTTTGCCTGGCAAACGCAAGATCTATTAAAAGCCTGGTTAAAACTCAGATGATAAGGTAGGAAATGCTTGAATTAAGCTGGGAAATTCAAACATTTCCTACCTTATCATTTGAGTTTTAACCAGGCTTTTAATAGATCTTGTGTTTGCCAGGCAAAAACTACTTGGGACCCAAGTTGTGTTGACTTTAATGCTATTACTTGAGTCACTCAGGCAGTTACTACTTGGGTCTCCGGTTATCGTAGCCTTTTCTTTCTCTCCGTGCAACGGACCTATATACTTAGGCTGCAATTTGGTAAACTCACCTGTCACAATCGGATTCGTCCCGGCTGAAAAAACTTTTCCAAGAAAATGTACATGTTCTTGTACATATTTTTTTGTGTAGGTTTCATGTAAATTTTCTTGTACCAGATGTGGAACATGTTCTTGTACATGTTCATTTATGTCTTTTAAATTAAAAATTAAAAACTTTAAAGGCTGCGCAGTAGTTTTCTTAAGCCTTTACAGCAGCGCAATAATTTTTAGCATGCATAAGTGAAGAGTCTTAATAATTATAACTTATTAAAATTTCAAATTTTTTTCAAAAACATTTTTAAACAAATGTTCTTGTACAAGAACATAAACGTGTTCATTTAAAAGTACTTGTACATGAAACCTGCACAAAAAATATGTACAAGAACATGTACATTTTCTTGTACAAGTATATTTTCTTATCCAAGATCTTGTACAAGTTCTGGTACAAGAACATGTCTCAATTCCGGATGCTGAACTTGTTCAAGAATATTACTTGAACATGTACAAGAAAATGTACAAGTTCATTAATGAACATGTACAAGAACTTGTACATTTTCTTCTACAAGGTTTATCAGTCGGAGTCCCTATTGTAAATTCCCGTATGAGATCCCAGATAAAATCACTTATGGCTTCTCATATGAGATACTACATGAGATCTTACGGGAATCCTATATGGAAACTCATGAGACAAATCTCATAAGTGTCCATATAGAATTCTATATGAGATCCCACATAGGATCCCACATGGGAATATGTAGTAGTTATTTAAAAAAAGTATATGAGCGACTCCACGTCAAGTGATCACACTGATTTAGGCTATTTTGGTAACTTTTTATAATATTGACAATTTGGGTTCCTTTAAGGGTCAAAAAAGAAATCCTAAGTAGGGGAGACCGGGGTTACTTGGCGCACTTTTTACTCTTTGTTGTGTAACTCACTCATTTTTGCTTTTTTAAAAAGTTAATGTATAGAAAACTTGTAACATATCAGCTTTAATTAAAAAAAAGAAAGTTGAAATATATTTAATACTTTTATTTTTATACCACTTTATTTGAAGCTGTGCAAAGCGCGCCAAGCAACCCCGGTCCGGGGTTACGTGGCGCAGGAGTGAAATTAAAATTAAATTATATGATTTAAAGTTTAAATAATATAAGACTTAACAAAATAAGTCTTGTACTGTAATTTTACAATAAAATTATTTTAAATTTAAAAATTAGAAAATTTCATTTAAACTAAATGAAATTTGATTTAAATGAAATCGTAAATTACCAAAAAATATATTTTTTAGGTTTCCGTACTCGGTTCGGAACCCTATTAATATCGGTTTTTTTGAAATCGTGTACCCCCCCCTAGCGGCCACACAAATTTATCTGGAGGGCTGAAAATTAGTACACATATGTATTTAAAAGATGTTTCTAAAAGATTTTCTAATGCATTTTCGCTGCGAACACAGCTCATCAGGACTACGAAAAAATCCACAAATTAATAAGATTTTTTCGTAGTCCTGATGAGCTGTGTTCGCAGCGAAAATGCATTAGAAAAGCAATAAAGACTAACTAAAGAAGAATTTTGTTAATTTTAATTATACGGACCAAAGGCCACAAACTTGAAAATAGTAAAAGTTATAAACAAATTTTATTTTTTTTTTAAATATTTTTTTCTTAAAGTTTAAGATCTTTTGTTTAAAAAACATTCTCAACATTTCTCTCTATTTTTAGTAGTGAAACAGTAATAAGTAAAGCAAAAAAATATTGCTCTAATTTGTTATTGTATAGATATCTCGAAAGACATTGTGGAGAATGTTCATGAATTTAAAAAAAAATTGGAGATATACTTTTCGAATTATTTAAACAATTAAAATTGTTTTTTTAATAAAAATAAAAATTTTTTAATTTTTTTTTTGGAAAATTTTTTTCATGAAAAAGCATCTAAATTCAAGTATTTAAAAAAAAATTCATCCCGATTGGTTAAAGATTACGGATGTTATATTAAATCAAAAACAAAAATTACAAAAAATTTATAAGTGCAACCCTACTGAAAATTCTCATGTAGGATCTTATATAGAATCTTACATAAATTCATATATTAAACACCACATAAAATCCTATGTGTCATGTAAGAAACTATATAGGATCTTATGAAAAATCATGTCTAACGAAAATTAAAGCAAGTAAAAATTTTGACAATTTCAAAATTTGATGAAATATTAAAGTCTTTAAAATGAATATTAGTTTAAATAACAATTCTCCAACATAGAAATTCTGTTAAATATTAATTCGAAGAAATTAAAATTCATGCTTAAATTAAATTCAAGTTATTGAAATTCTGTCAAATGAAAATTTCAACAAATTCATTTTTGTAATGGATTCTGTATAGGAAATCCCATTTTGAGAGTGGGTTTTAAATGGGATGCCTAATTGGAGCCAGAGTGGCCCCAATGTATACTTGGGTTAACGAATCACTTTATAAAGTGGTAAAATATACTACTTTTTTTTAGTTTTTGTAATTATTTCAAAATCACTTTTACCAAATATATTCTGTGTTATATTTTAACTACTTCTTTTATAATTAACATAACTAGTTAAATTCATAGAAAAGCTGTTGAATTACACAAGGTAATTAAAAAGTAGACAAATTTATTTAAAATTTTTTTTATGTAGTTATATAGGTTACATATTTATTTTAAAAGAAAGTTTTAAGAAATATCATCCCCCATGAACGTCGATGGAACATCTATGTCAGACAATAGTCTATTGCGCATGTACTTATGTTGGTTAACCCCAGTAGAAATTTATTAATTTTATTTCAGTATGACTCTATTCTAGTTATAATATACATCATTAAAGAGGTGAAAGGAATCTCAATAAAAGCAATGGACATAAAAAAATTAGTAAGTTTAAACGATTTAGTATCATTATAAAATTAAATACTTTCGCGGTTATATGTATATAAAAATATCAGTGTTCATTGATGAAAAAAGTTTAATATAAACAACAAAAGCTGACAATATATTTCTATTCTCTCTTTTCATTACATCTTTACATAATTTTAAAAACACTTACATTTTTTGTTTTATAAAAAAAATCGTAATTAAATTTAAAATTATAGAATGTGAAGAGAAATTATTACAAGTAATTTTTAAAAGTATAATTAAAATTACACATTGTAAATGACCTACTTCAAAAAATGTTTATAAATAGTAAAAATTAGTAAATATAATAAACTAAAAAGAAAATAGGTAATTACGAAATAATATACATATGTGTATTAAATTATTATTCAAGAATCGTAGGATAAGTGTTAAGATTGTTTTTATTTATTTTTTATTCAACAAGTACCTCGGACGTCCGCAAGTAACCGTCTTTCTGTTCAATTTTTATTTTCCTCTTAAAATAAAAGTAATTGTTTTCGTTATTATTATTAAAATATATATTTATTTGCAATATTATTTTTTATTGTCATTCTAAATTTATTTCTGTTTGTGTAATTAAAATACTACGATAAAATTTATATATAGTGAATGCTTATAGATAAACATTTATCTTATAAAGTATATCACGTTTTTAATTAATTAATTTAAATTAAAAAAATTAATGGAAGTTAAAAAATCAAAAATTCATATTTTAACCGAAATTTCTAAATATTAATCAAAAAGAATATATAATTTATAATTATTTACAATTATATCGATTGGTTTTAATGCAAGGAACACAATTATTTTATATTTAAACTGGAATTTAAATAAATATAAAATTTTTCAGCTAAAATGTGTATTTTCTATTTTTTAACTTTCATTAATTTATTAAATTTACCTCAAATGTAAATTTTATATATACCAATCGATTCGTTTTCATGTAAGGAATACAATTATTTCATCTATAAACTTAAATTTAAAAAATCAGAAAATTTTATTGCAAAAATGTAAATTTTTGATCTTTTAACTTTCATGAATTCTTTAAATTTAAATTAAAACTATACTTTATATATACTGATCGATTTGTCTTGACGTAAGGAATATGATTTTATTATATATAACCTTAAATTTTTCTATTTAAAAATTTTTTGGTTTAAAAAAAGTTTTTGGAAAAAAGACGATAAAATTTTATTTTTGGGTATTTTTTAAAATCCTTTGGTCAGATTTGAGATATTAATATGATAAATGAACCTACCAAATTTTATCTAAATCCATTAAAACCTGTTAAAGTTATCTTCTAAACAAAAAAGGGATCCATACACAAGGAAGCAAAATAATGAAAGAAATAATTATTATAATTTAAAATATTATAATTTTCTGTAATAATCATTATATAAAAAAATTCATATATAATAAAATAAATTTATAAATAATAGGTAATAAAAATTATATTATAATAATTGAAACTTTTTTTTCTATAAATAACAAGTAGGAAATATACTGGTGCTGCACACAATGAACAATATTTTTTTTTACTTTAAACTGTGACTTATAGTACCTATGTGACTTAATTAATGACGATAAATAAAAATATCAGTCGCGTTAACCATAAAATATTACGAAATCAAGAATTGTCAAAACGTTAGAAAAACAAAAGGAACAAAAAAACGACTAACTTCAAGTGTGGACAGACGGAATGAATGAATACGGAAATTATTATATGTAATTATTATATGTAAAAAAAAATAATAATAATAATTCAATATCCTACTTATTTTTTACCCAAAGTGAGTAGACTTTGAAAAAATACAGAAATCTGTAAAAAAAAAACGATAAAACAGTACCTAAGTCAAACACTATCAAAGTCATTAGTACTGTGGATATTTATATTATTAACAATATTAACTTTTTTATATAAGATACTTTAAGATTTGGCTTATTTTATTACATAATTGTTACTTAATCGAAAATTAATTTTATAATTTTCCATTTCATCCAATTGGAATGATGTTTTTAAAATTACTCGAACTTTATTTGTTCTTAAAATATTTCATTTTTCATTAATTTTTATTAGTTAATTAATTGATATCTCTAAAACAAAAAATAATGCCATCTTAAAATTTTAACTATATCGTTATAAGTAAAACAAAAAAATATTGCTAAAGTTTGTTATTGTAAATATCTGCAAAAACATTAAAAATTTCAAATTTGTACAATTATTTATTACTACAATTTACTGAATTTTAGAAAAAATCCAAAACATGACTTCGTCTTTTCATATGAAATGCCTTAAGTAACATCACAATAAAAAGTTTTTCCGTTTGCAAAATAAAGCAACACGTGTTTTTTTAGTTTTTAAATTGGTTACTTTAACTAAAATTAGAGCTGAAATTGTCAGAGTAGTATAATGAAAAATAAAGTTTATTTCAGAAAGAACAATTTTTCTACAAAAAATAGTTAAGGGGGGATTCTACTTTAGAAGGCTTAAAAATAGTGCTTTTTAAGAATTTTTTTAGAAAGGAAAAAAATTTAAACCTCCAGAATTTTTGGAATGTTTTTGTATATATGTGACGCTACATGAGAAAAAGCACCTTAGCTCCCAAAAAATTAATTTTCAGTTTTATAAGCGAATCGGTAGTATTTAAGTTGCTCTTTCATATACAAAAGTAAAAAATTAACTGATTAAACGAACTTACCTTAAGGGAAATTCAATCGGAATTATATGAGTCATCCCATTCGAATAGATTAAGGGGGGACCCTCAATTAGACGTTTAAAAAATGCATCATTTTTGGGATTTTTTTTCTCTTGTAAAATAACTTCAAACATTTTGTAATTTATAGAGTACTTTATTGCATGTCTTGACAGTGTAAAATAATTATTGAAGACTGAAAAAAAACATTTTTACTATTTAAATTTACACCGTGGCTATGACACCTGATTTTGTCTGTGTACATTCTAGCGCTCTAAATTATTTTCTGAAACAAAAAAACCAATTTTTTTTAACTTTAGAATAATACCTTCGATGTGATATTTCGATTTTTTAAAAAAATGTCGAAATTGATTTTTCTTACCGAGTTTTACGTTAAAAGTGATTTTTCATGCATGAAAAATTGACTTTGAAATTCCAAAAAAATATAAAAAATTTTTTTTCTCAAAAAACACTTAATGTCACGTTGAAGACAATTTAAATAGCTTTAAAATGAGCTATGGTAAAGCCCGTTTGGTTCAATACAGCGTTTTCAATCGTGTACACAAAATCGAAAAATGGTGTTTCGAGAAAAACGCGTTTAAAGTTTTAAATACATAAAAATTGGATGTAAATAACCTGGCGCGTCCTGCTAAAAATTTTGTAAATCCTTCAATAATACAGATATCGATTTGAAATTTTGAAGGTATATTCTTGAATAGTTGTAGAATCGATTAAAATTATTTCAAAAAAATCGATTTTTTTGACCCGATAAATGAGGTTCCCCCCTTAATACCCTACCGGAAGGGTGTTACTGGATTGGTACTGGGAAATTGGAACTGAGGGCTCAGTACCAACTCAGTACTAATTTGGTGCATTTTGGTACTGAAATGGAACTGGGAAATTTATCTGCGAAAAGGGTCGAGATACCGTTTATACCCTCATCTCAACCCTCATGAAAGTGAAAAGCGACTAGCTTTTTCAATATGTTTAAACTAATACTTTATATTTATTTCAATATTATATTTGTTTTTTCTGGATTTATATTATTTTCATACATTATTATGCATATGATATGTCCTTTGGCAGCTAAATTAAGAAATGATGTCCATTTTTTTATCAAACTTAGGGTACGGTCACACTATCTCATGCATGCACTGTGCATGCATGCAGAAACATTTAGCCGGTCACACTTCAACAAAATCTAGTAAATGTAGTGATGCATATGAGCAAGACGATCCGAGAAACGAGCGAGAAAATCGGACTTTTTAATTTTGACAACCGAGAATATAGTTTGTTTTGTTTTAATAAAACGATCTTCTCGACTATCCGAGCGAGCTTCACGAGTATCTCGTTTTGCAAATTCAAACATGTAAAAATTAAACGGAGGTTAGTAGAAAAATGATTTTAACTTTTTTGGTTAAAAGATTAATAAATTACTATTAATATATTAATAACTGTTAACGAAAAATAATAATTCTTTTAACAAATTAAAGTTATTTATTATTCTAACCATGTGAATTTTGATAATTCCACATTGTTAAAAAGTATAAATCAAATAAATTTATCGAATTAGTGATAATTTCTTTTATAAATTAAAATTAGTTAGGTATAATTCTAATCATGTAAATTTTAAAAATTACACATTGTTACAAACTATAAATTAAATAAATTGAAATAAATAATGAATTATTAAGGAATAAATCGTTAATTTATATTTAATGTATAATTTGGTTTAATTTAATGTTAATTTTTGCTAAGTATTATTTATTAAATAATACATTTAACCTACCATTTTTTTGTTTATTAACCTTTAAAAACTATATTTATATAAAACTTTCAAACTAATAATCTTAACTATATATTAGATAAAATTAAACTTTTGAAAATGCTAATATACCTCTCTAAGGATCTTTTAAGATTTTGAGTTTCTTTTAATAATTCTCCCATTATCTTTGACGTTTCCGAGATACTCCGAGAACTCGATCGTTTTTGTGTTAGTTTTCGGGACGAGACGATTTGATAAAAACAAATAAAAACTCGAGTTGTTTTTTAAAAAATGACAGTTAAAAACGAGAAATTTCGCGCGAGATAATCGATCTTCTCGTATCGTTGTGCATCACTAAGTAAATGTTTAGTAAATTTCTAGTTACAACAGAAATTTTTGGAAAATTACTAGAAAGTTACTAAATATTCACTAGATTTCGTTGAAGTGTGACCGGCCAAATGTTTCTACAAGCATGCACAGTACATGCATGAGATAGTGTGACCGTACCCTTAAGGTATAAG